GAAAGGATGAGTTTAGTCCTGTAAACTCTCAGGATGATTTGCATGTGATATTGACATTCCTTGGTGTCTATACACTTTGGTAATTATGAAAGGAGGTTGTTGCATTTAAGAGTCTCAAGTCATCAAGTTCTGATTTCCTGACTCCAAAGCTTTAAGTTAATTAAAGTTGTTTTCAGTCACAAGTTTGTGGTCCATTTTTAACAGCAACCTGAGCAATCTAATATACCCTCCTATGTACTGTAGTAATGTGATTTGTGCAAAGCAGCAACTAAGGTGGTTTTGCCTTTTACAAAATATTTTGAAATTTTTACCTTCTGTTTTATATACATGAATGTTTTTCTGTCTGTACATCAATGAGATATGCATGTGCAGTGTGCATGGAGCCCAGAAGAGAACATTCTGTCCTCTGGGATTACAGTCACAGTCACATATAGTGATAAACCTCCATGTGGGTCCTGCTAACTGAATCTAGGTCCACTGGAAGAGCACTCTAAACTACTGTGCATTTTTCTCAAGCACTTCTATTTTGTTTTTAAGAACCATACATATAATGAGAGGATCATCCACTCTAGTGACTCCAGTTTCTCTCCCTACATATTGTGAGTAGCACATGTGTTTAACTAAATGAGTCATTTTAATCATTAGGGCCTTTACTCTCCATCTGAGAGAAGTGAATTAGCAGGACTCTATGACATGAAAGCACACTCAACTCACTGCAGCTGTCACAAAACAGTGTGCAAAGTTTAGTGAAGATTGAGAGCACATGACAGCTTGGTAGACTCTGAAACAATTACTCATCTGCCATATACTTGACCTTGATATTGGGAAATTCCAAAATCCACATAGTTGGACTCTCTCCTATGATGGTATCTAAGCAATTTCTTAATCAAACTTAAAGTGTTTCTTAGAAATAACGTAATGCTTTATGCCTGAAATACATATAGATTATTATATGTTTAGTAAAACAGATGAAATAAAGGAGGGAAGCATATTGATTTAAATATAGACTTAAAGTTCAAGATCAGTCAAGTGACTTGCTTTGGTAATAAAACAGTAATTGTCTCACATTCCTGTTACTGAATATCTTTTTGAGACCTTTCCACATTATGTAGGTAGGACTGAGCCAGGGACTGACTGGACAGGACTGACTGCCTTCTGTCATGCTCCTCTTGCCTCTTTTACTTCTGTTCTGGCATTATAGATGTGCATCCCCATCCCTTAATGTGTGTTTCATTTAATTATCTGTTTCCTATAGATTGCACATAACATTATAATTTACCTCATGCACTTAGTTTTGTAGTTCCCAACCATAAACCTTTGTATAACCATTCATTTCTATTACTAATAGCTGTTTACTCACATCCAAGTCAACTGAATTGTTCTGGGTGCCAAGAATTAATAAAGCCAAGTAGTTCATTAGTCCTGAAAAACGATCTTTAAATTTTTTAAATTTCTTTTTGTGGTTCTTTTGATGCTAAATATAAAATTAAAAAGCAGGAGAGAAATGTGACTGGAAATCTTGGATAACTAGACAGACCATCATATAGCATCCTATTGGAAATCTTAGTTTTTTTAAATTTCCATTGGTTTATTTTTTATTCACTTACATCCTCATTGGGGTCTGATCTCCCTTCTTTCCTCCCAGTCCCACCTTTAAAAATTCCTCCCCATATTACCCACCTCTTTCTGGGAGAAGATGAAGCCCCCTTGTGTACCACCTTGCCATGGGATATCAAGTTGCAGTTTTCTCCTACTGAGGCCCAACCAGACAGAACAGCTGGAAGATATCTAATAGCAGACAACAGAGGCAGACAGCCTCTGCTACAATTGTTAGATGATCCTTGTGAAGACCAAGTTGCACATCTGGTTCAAATGTGTAGGGGTTCTAGTTCCAGCCCCTTTCATGTTCTTTAGTTGGTGGTTCAGTCTCTGAGGTAACATGGGCCCAGGTTAGTTGGCTCTGTAGGTCTTCTTGCAGTGTTCATGACACCACATTCTTCACTGGTTTGCTTCAGTCTGTCCCCCACTCTTCCACAAGGCTCTATCAGCCCCTCCTGATGTTTGAGTGTGTGTCTCTGCTTCTAGCTCCATCTACTGCAGGGTGAAGCCTCAATAAATAAATTTAAGGACAGTAACAAACAAAAATTATAGCAAGATATATTAGAGTTCAAAAGGAAAAACTGCAGCACATGAAATGGGCCTGCAAGAGAGGAAGAGTACAGTCATGTTCCCTAAGATAAGGTCAGCTTCCTGGAAGCAAACACCTTCCCTCCACAGTGCTTCTGTCTTCAATGCAAACCTCTTTTCAAATTTTCACAAGCTCCCTGTAGGACCCCGCTCTGGAACTGCACACTTACTCCATCTACTGAAGAGCCCAAATGCCTAGTTAACTGATGAGATGATGCAGATGTCAATGGAGATTAATGGATGTATGTCTTTGCCTTAGTTAGGGTTTTTATTGCTGGAAAGCATCACCATGAAGGCAGCTCTTCTTATAGGGAAACATTTCATTGGATATGGCTTACAGTTCAGATGGTTAGACCTTTATCATAACGGTGGAAAAAATCATGGCTGAATGTAGGAAGTCATGGTGCTAAAAAGGAAGCTGAGAATTTTATAATTAGATTTACAGGCAGCATGAAGAGTGAGACACTGAGACTGGATTGGAAATCTGAGAACTTAAAGCCCACACCCAATGATATACTACCTCCAACAAAGCCACACCTACACCAGCAAGGCAATCTCTTTTAATAGTATCACTCAAAGGGTCTATGGGTGCCAGTTTTCTTTAAACCACCATAGTCCTTCATATCAATTGATATGAAAGATCCTTATAGCAAAATGATGCAAATGTCTCTGTAGTAGTTTTCTATTTCTTCTGCATTCATTACAAAATAACTGTAGCTTAAACATGAGAAGTTCATTATTTTATGGTTCTGGAGGTCAAAATTCAAACATTGATGGGCTGATGTAGGGTGTCTACATTCCTGTTTGGAGAATCTAGAAGGATATATGTCTTTTGGTTTCTTGAATTCCTACAGATCTTCTAAACTCTAGGTTGTGATCTCTTTCCATAATTTTTCTTTTGAAAATCATATTTACTCATGTATATTCATTATATACATGTTGAATTTCATAAGGCAACTTCTTTCAAATATATGATCTATAAACAATGCTAATACCCCCTCTTGACTAGTTTTTAGGTTAACTTGGCAAAAGGTCTCTACCTTAGGAGGAAATCTCAATTCAGAGAATGACTTCATTTGATCAGGCTGTGGCATGCCTGTAGGACATTTTATTAATTAGCGATGAAGGGGACAAGGCTCAGTCAGTCCAGTGTGGAGAGGCCCACACCTAGGCTGGTGGTCCTGAATTCTAAAGGAAATCAGGCTTAGCAGGTCAGAAGGATCAGCAAGTAAGCAGTACTCCTTCATGACTTCTACATGAATTCTTGCTCCTAGGTTTCTGCCTTGTTTGACATCCTGCCCCCAGTTCTATCAGTGATGGGCTGTTATCTGGGAGTGTGAGAACAATCCCTTTCCCCTCAAGCTGCTTTTGTTCATGATCTTTCAACACAATAACTATAAACTTAACTAAGACACTTGTTCTCGTCTTTCTCTCTATTCCATTTTCCCTCTGACACAAGTTTCCTTCCAATAGTTTTCCTTTTACATACAAAGACACAGAGACATAAACACAGAGACACACAAACCCACACACCTAGACTTACAAAGACAGTCACACAGACTCACAGACACACATACAGACACCCACACGTATATGTGGAGACCCAGACATCTCACTCCACAATAATAAAGGATATGTTTTTTGTGTTGATAGACAATATCTTCCACATTTATGTCTCTTTTTTTATCAGTAAGTTTAAGGTCTATGACAGGGAAAAACCAAGTAACCAAGTAAACAATATCCTAATACAATTTATGTATTCCTTAAAAACAAATTGGTCAACTGGCTTTAAAGGCATGGAATGACAGTCTTATGGGCCACATACAATTGTTCATGTTCAGTGTGTGTCTCTTTACAATTTTAATATCATCTTGATGGATTGTCCCATTTTTATAAGTAACTATTCCATTGTAATAAAACACCATGACCCAGGCACCTTATAAATAAAGGTTCATTTCTGCTTTCAGTAAGAGGACATGATGACAGAATCGAGGTAGTAAGCAGGAGACATGTTAGCTGGAGCAGACCCTGGGTCTCACAACTAGATCTGTATGTTTGTATATATGTATGTATCTGTGTAGTATGTATGTGTGTATGTATGTATGTATGTAAGTATGTATGTATGTATAGATTCCATATGTGAATACTAACTGGAGGTAGGGATGACTGAGAATCATCATGTAAGTGCTTAGAATCAATTCACAGTCCTCTGTAAGACCAACAGTTGTTCTAAACCTGCAAGATGTCTCTGAAGCCACAAATTTTTGTTTTAATGTTTCTCTTTCTTTTACTTCTATGTTGCCTGTTTTCTCCCCCAGTTTATTTCCCTCCCTAATCCAAACTTTTATCTCCTATTCTTCATCCTCTTTTTTCTTTCCATTCTATCACCTCCCCTTTCTTCTTCTTCTGTTCCTTCCCCTTTCTTTCCATTCTTTCGTCCTTTTCACTATCCTATTTTTTTATTCTGTTTTTGTTGTCCTGTATTTGAATAGTCTTGTTAAGATTATCAATCAATGGTGTTTCTACTACCATGAATGTCAACTGTTTATACATGTCTTTGATCGTGAACAGAAATTTGTCATGAAATCATATAGACATTTGTGGTTTAAGAACTCTAAGTTGGACATTGAGTTTCCTTCACAGTAATTGCTTATTCTTTTTTTTTTTTGGTAGTTTTGGATATTTATTTAAGCTAGAAACTCTCACACCCCAGTGCCCAGGCAATTACTTCCTTATTTGATCACTGCTTTGCATATGTCCTTACAGGTCAGCCCAGCTGCCCATGTTTTATAAAGCAGGTCTTTGATGTAAGAACTGAAGTACATCAGACAGGCAGGGGCATCAAGATGAAGTCACAGATCCAGGTCTTCATAGTCTTGCTGCTCTGTGTATCTGGTGAGAAATTTAGAAGTATTACAATATCTTCAAAGTAATTCATTAGTAAAGAAATAATCATAGTTTAAATATATATATATATATGATATAATAGTTATTTCCTGTAAGAAGCTAATAGCAGACCGTCATAATTCCATTAGGAAAAAAAAATTAAATTTCAATGTTATATCTGGAACTCTTTGTGTGTATATGTGTATACCCATTATTTATCTCTGATTACAGGTGCTCATGGAAGCATTGTGATGACCCAGTCTCCAGAATCCCTTCCTGCATCAGTAGGAGACAGGGTTATCATGAGCTGTAAGGCCAGTCAGAGTGTGAGTAATGAAGTAGCCTGGTACCAACAGAAGCCAGGGCAGTCTCCTAAACCGCTGATCTACTATGCATCCACTCGGTACACTGGAGTCCCTGATCGCTTCACAGGCAGTGGATCTGGGACAGATTTCACTCTCAGCATCGACAGTGTGCAGGATGAAGACATGGCGGATTATTTCTGTCAGCAGGATTACAACTATCCTCCCACAGTGATTCTTCCTCCTACAAAAACCTCCTTGAGAGTCTCACAGCTGCCTGTTCCACATATAGCTGTAGCTTTACACACTTCACCCTCTGCCTGAGAGCAGCTATGCTTGACTCATTAGTGGAAAGCTCAGTAGAAATTCATTGAGCAGATGGTCACTTAGAAATTGGAAGGCTCTTATGACTCCTCTGATTCCCAGAAATGTTAGCATAAGAATGGCAATTTATGTAGCCTATTGTACTCATTTCTGACTAATTTGTCACGTAATTTTTCTTGCATGTGATTACTTACTGGCTATACTTTTTGTCTTTAATGGCAGGTGGCAGATGTAACATCAAAATAATGCAGACTTCTTCCACTCTGTATGCATCTCTGGGAGACACAGTCACCATCAATTACCAGACTTGTGAGGACACTTATACTATGTTATCTTGGTATCAGCATAAACAAGAGAAAAATTTCTAAGCTCCTGATCTATGGTACAAATATCTTAGAATGCTCCTTACACTTTGTCTTTCATACTATAGTATTTGAATACTTGAACTTTGTTCCCAAACAGTCCATCTTCACAAGTTAGGCAGAAAGATCCCTTATCTTACTTTTGACAGTGAGTTTTATCACAGCAACAAAGAGAGATTAGTGCACCTTCCTATGAGCATGGAAGTAGTTTCTTTACTGACATGACATTTTCTAGAAGTGGAATACAACTCTAAGGTAAATGGAGAGGAATATTGGATTTTGCACCATCATGTCATCCCCATTGAACTCTAAACTAAGAAGAGAGGAGAGCATGATTAAATACAAACATTGAGTTGTTCCCATGATATTCTCTTACCACTTGTATGAAATTATGTCATTTTACTATGTAAGTAATTTTCCTTCCAACTCATTTTCAAGGAAGAACAGACTTTACAAGGCACAAGCAAACTGGAGAAGTATTTACACATTCTCCGTTTTTCCACTGCTGTCCTCTTTCTGAGTCAGAGTCTTTAACAGAACACAGGTTTTTATTTTTTTTGTGTATCTTTCTTGTTCTTTATCATGTATATATACTCATAAGACATATGTGATACTAGAGATATGTCTCATTGTTTATGAGCCCTGGCTGTTCTTCAGAGAATCTAGGTTCAGTTCCAAGGACACATGTGTTAGCTCACAATGATATATAACTACAGTTTCAGGGGATCTGTCTCATTCAACTGACTTCTGCAGGCACAAGGAATGCACATTAAGCAGACATGCATCAAGACAAAAAAGTCATAGACATAAAATATTTAAAAGGAGACACATGCAGCATCTCTATTTGTAAGCCATTATGCCACCCACAGTTGCTGAAGCTGATAGGTCAGTAATGGTTTTATCTTGAGTACATTCAGGAACAGGTGTCAAAGATACCTCAGCTATGACAGTTGCTTTATGCTCTGTCCTAATTCTCACACTCACACTATGAAGATATGTATAAGCCTCAAATGGCAACTTAAGGATTCTGTGGTTGGATGGTGTTTTGCTGGGGGAAACAGGTGAAGGAATGCTTTGTTAAAGTGGACACAGGTGTTAAAATGTAAGGCAGGCTTGTGAAGGAACATTTCATTGAAGCAGACACAGGAGAGAGGATATTCTGCCAAAGCAAACACATGAAAGGACACATGATGACAGATTCTTTGCTAATGACATACATGGATCAGTCCACCTTACATTGTGTAGGTGAGCTGTATTTGTCAGCACTCCTCAGATTCAGGCTGAATGGATGCCTAGGGTGAGGCAAGATCTGTGCTGAGGCAAGATACATGCTGAGTCAAGACACATGCTGAGGCAAGGCACATGGAAGACACATGTCGTTTGGAGGGTATAAATAGGAATCCACACAGTGACATAGATAGAGTGTGCCTTACTGGTAAAGCTAACTGTTTAACACTTGTGGGTCTCACATCTTCGCTGATCTTTGCTTTCTTGAGAGAGACACAGTCTAGAACTTCTGTTGTTCCTGTTGTTCCCTCTTGCTGACTTGAAACAAGGCTGAGGTCTGGCTATCTTTGCTAATCTTGACACCATTGTTGCTAATGTGACTCTACAGAACTAGACTGTGGAGCTACTGCTGCCTTCTAACCTATGAACTGTGCTGCCATTTTCCAGACAACATAGATAGAATTGCTTCAAAAACAAACAAACAAAACCCAAAAATCTTTCTAAGCAGGTTCCCCAAGAACCCCTGTATTCTTTCTTTTCAACTACCTTTGTTGGGTAGTGACTAAAGGGAGGTTAAAGCATTTAAGAATCATCATTAAAAATATGGTTTAAAAAATTAAATTACATAAGGCCTCCTCAGTGAAGCACTACCTGTGAGTGCTAGGCTCCTTAAGCAGTCAAGTTTTTGGTTCATGGCTGTCACTATGTATATTCACTTGTATCTTGAATGCAGGAATAAAGTTGTATATCTTCGGGTACCTTGATATTGTTTCAAAGAATGATATGTTGATGCTAGAAAATCTTCCTATGTTTACTATTTCCTGTCCCAGATATTGGGCAGCCACACACACTCATCCAGAGAAAGAATGAATCTATATGCTGGAACAGAAAAGCTGAGTTCATCCTTGTAGTGCCTCCAGATAATTTGGGTCTCAAATGTATATTACTGTGGCCTACATCCACAGTGATGTCCATGGAATAGGGTGCTGTGTTCTAAGAGCTCCAGATCATCATACTTCCTGATTCCAAAGCTAAAAGCAAATTAATCAGTAGTGTTTTCAGCGAACAAGTTTATTGTTCAATCAAAGACAACAGAAATTAATGCTCCAGGATGTATTGTGGAAACTTGATAAAAACTAAGGTCTGTAGGGTTCTTTGTATTATACATAATGTAACTTTGAATTTTTATGTTTTTACTTTCCATGCTATTATCTTATTCTGTGAGAAACAAGAATCTTTGTATTTGTAAGGCTGCTATATCCATGTGTTCAATCTGAATGAGCATTAGTAAGTGACATGAAAGCATGGTCTGAGCTCACTGCAGGTGTCACAAAGCAAAGTATAAAGTTTAATGAGGATTGAGAGCACATAACTTGTTAGACACTGATGGAGGTAGCTATTCATATGTCATATTCTTGAGCTTAATGTTTGGAACTTTCTAATTCCATGTATTATATGACTCTCTGATATGGGGGGGAGTGCTAACAGTTTCAGAGGATATCTGAATAATCTCATCAGAAATTATTTACCATCTTATACCTTAAAAGTAGATGTATAAAATAAAAGGGAATGCATATTGCTTACATGAAAATTTAATTTTCAATAATATTCTTGACATAGCGGTAAATGTCAACATCAGATAAATAAAATACTTTAGAAAGATAATGCCATTAATTGCCTTGTAGCAAAGTTGATTGATAATACATAGTTTTGAAAGCTCATCTTCATGCATAGATTAGCCTGGCCTAGAATATATTATGCACCCAAGGCTGGTCATACTCTCATAATTCTCCTGCTTTTGTTTCCCCAATTCGGGTTTTACAGATGTGAATCCCAACTCCTTGTCATAATACTTTTTTATTTACCTTCATTTTAGAATTTATTTCTTATATACACTTGACCTGGCCCGAGCTGCTGCTGCAGTCTGTGAGTCAGGGTCTAGCAAGAGAGAGAGTGGGGATGGAAGGGCAAGAGATGTGAAGAATGGAGACAAGACAGAGGGTCTGTCCAAGTCTCCCTTTATTGAAAGGAAATCATGAGTATATATAAGCATAAGCAGGGGAATGCAGCTGAAGACAGTTTACCACGTGTGCCTTGCTGCTGGGGTCATTAAACAACAAAAGATACATGAGTATCAGAGTGTGCTTAGCTGTTGTAGACTGTTGAAAAACAAGTCTCTTGTCAGGGTATATGGCCTGAGATGGCTGCAAAGATGATAGCCACTTTCTGCTAGGAGTTGGCTCCCAACATACACTTTTAGAATTCACTAATCTGAAGTCCTGGCAGGTTCAGCAATTATGGTTCTGCTATCGATTTTCATTCATACTCAATTTTTTTTTATTGGTCTTGGTCCCTGTAATATCTTTATTTGGATTAGGAGGGCTGTGCTTCCTTATGCAGAGACCTTTAAACTATTCATGATGTCAGAAAGACTTTCTTAATGAATATTCAGTGCTGCTAATTTCTAGATTACAGTGGCATTTGTATTTCTCTAATAAAACCTCATGACTAGTGTTGGTCAGCAGCCATGACCTCATGAAGAAATCTGTTTTTATCACTGTTTCATTTCCCCAAATTTAGACCTCTTTAGTTTCCTGAAGTTGTGGGAAGGGTACTTGCTTGTTTCTACTCTGTTTCTTTTGCTTTGAGATAAAGTTTCTCTGATCAGTCTTAAATTAATGTCCACTAAAATTTCCACAGAGCTAATTCTGGGAATGCTCTTTGCATTTCTATTCATGGTTAGCCCAGGAACTGGAGCCCAAATTTCTGAGGCATTAATCTTCATCTTCAGTATAAGAGTGGCTTTGGAAATTGGTAATATTAAAAAAATTTAATCTCATTTGTCTTTCATCTTTTTCCCTCCATCCTTTTGTTTTTACTCTGTTTCTTTTGTTGTTGTGATAGTTTTGAACATATCCTATTACTTCACTAGGACTGTCTAACTCGGATAAGTCTCCTAAGGTTTCTGCAGAAGTCAATTGATTTAAATATGTTTTGGATTTTAACATAAAAGTTGCTACTAGAATACTTAGTGCATTTCTGTTGAACATTATCTTTTAGCTGATATCTTTCAATGCCTGCTCATGCTCTCTGCGATGGTATTTTTGGCTGTTGATTGACAACAATCACTCTTGGACAAACTGCCCAGGCATTTGCTTTTGTATTTGTTGACTGCTTTGCATAGGTCTATATAGCCAAGCTCAGCTCTTCAGAATATATAAACTAGGCCTTTGCAGTTTAAACTGAGCAGTGTCAAGCAGAAGGGGGAGCAAGATGGAGTTCCAGACCCCGATACTCTTGTCTCTGTTGCTCTGGGTGTCTGGTGAGAAGTTCAAAATTATTATAATATTTTCATTGCTCCACCTTTGTATTCAAGAAAGTTATAATATGTTTCACAGTATAGTATTTTATATAATAATACTCTGACAGCATTATATTGCAAGGACATTAAATGACAAATTTTAACTGCTATTATAATCTGTATTTGTATATGTATGTATGTATGTATGTATGTATGTATGTATGTATGTTCAGTGTCTATTTCTTATTGTAGGTGCCTATGCCAACATGGTGATGTCCCAGTCTCCAACTTCCCTTGCTGTGTCAGCAGGTGGGAAGGTCACCATCAGATGCACGTCTAGTGAGAGCCTTTATTCAAGCACATACAAGGCGAACTACTTGGCTTGGTACCAGAAGAAGCCAGGGCAAGCACCTAAACTGCTGATCTACTATGGGTCCACTCGGTACACTGGGGTTCCTGATCGCTTCACAGGCAGTGGATCTGGGACAGATTTCACTCTCACCATCAGCAGTGTGCAAGCTGAAGACCTGGCAGATTATTACTGTGCACGGCATTATAACTTTCCTCCCACAGTGCTCCAGCCTCCTACACAAACCTCCTTCAGACTCACCAGCTGCCTCTACCACACACAGCCCTGGTCTTGCGCACTTCCCCCTTCTGCCTGAGAGCTTATATGCCTGAAAAATTGTTGAGCCAGTAAAATGTGTATAATGTCTCTTATGTCTTTTCATATGAAAATCTTTTGTATGAAAATTCAATAGAAGACACAGTATTGTCTGTTTATTCTTTTTGTAACACATTACCACAAACTCTTCTGCTTGAATATGAGAAGTTTATT